AAAAGGAAAGAGATGGAAAAGGTAAATTCAGACAGGTGAAAGAGGTGTGAATAAGAGAACCAAAAGATATTAAATGAAGAGGAGAATCAGGTGAATTACAGAGGGGGTAAAGGGTCGAATCAGAGAAGGGAAAGAGGCAAGGGTGAGGGGAAAGAAGCGAGGGCAAGAGAGGAAAGAGGCGAGGACAAGAGAGGAAAGAGGCAAGGGTGAGGGGAAAGAAGCGAGGGCAAGAGAGGAAAGAAGCGAGGACAAGAGGGGAAAGAAGCGAGGGCAAGAGAGGAAAGAAGCGAGGACAAGAGGGGAAAGAAGCGAGGACAAGAGGGGAAAGAAGCGTAGTCAAACGGAGAAAGAAGGGAGTGCAAGAGGGGAAAGAAGAGCAAGGAGGGGGTAGAACCGGGAACAAGAGGGGAAAGAAGCGATGGTAAAGGAAAAAAAGCGAGGGCGAGAGGGGAAAGAAGCGAGAGTGAGAACTGAAAGAAGCGAGGGCAAGAGAGGAAAGAAGCGAAAGCAAGAGGGGAAAGAAAGGCGAGCAAGAGGGGAAAGAAGCGAGGGCAAGAGGGGGAATAGGTGATGTCAAAGAAGCGAGGGCAAGAGGCGAAAGAAGAGAGCAAGAGGGGAAATAAGCGAGAGCAAGAGGGGAAAGTCGACTCCAAGAGGGGAAAGAAGAGGCCAAGAAGGGAAGGGAGCGAGGGCAAGGTGAGAAAGGGTCGAATCCAAGAGGGGAGAGAAGCGAGGGCAAGAGGGGAGATAGGTGAGGGCGAGAGGGAGAGCAACAAGGTGCATCAGGTGCCGGGAAAAGAGGGGAGGTTACGCCAGCCGCTCCTCCCACTCTCCCGCTCAATGATGCCACACACCGCACACAACAACACTCCTTGTCCTTTCTTTACTTTGTTGGTCTTTTATATATTTTTTTCCCCCTTTAGATGTGTTTATTGCGCATCCCGAGAGTTTTGCTTAAAGCATTGTGCACGTTTGAATACGCCATACGAGGGAAATACTCCCGTATGCAAGAAAGGTAGATCCATTTTCCAAGTCGCTTGTCCCTCTTTGTTGATCCTTTTCGCTTCCATCTAGCTTCACATGAATAAATTATAGATGTTTCGTTGATTTCCACGCGGAAAGGAAATGTTAAACTTAAACACCAGTCGATTTCTAAAAGTGTGTCGATAATGCAGGTATCCTTGGGTGCGTCCGGCAGTTGGTAACAGTGCGAGGCTGGAGCTACCTTGAGGATCCCTTGGCTCGCCAGCAGTTGACATCTAGCAGGTGTCGCGAGCGGAAGGCAGACCAGGGTGCACGTGGCGACCGCTTCCCGACCGGTTACTGCTTCTGCTCCTGCTACTTTTATTATTCATTTTTGCGTTTTTTTCTTGTAAGGAGTCGCGGAGTTTGTTTGAATGATACCTGACCGCATTATGGAATGTCATGGATAGGTGGTGACTGAAAAAAAGAGTCTTGAACTAAAAGAAAAAATGTGATTATTATTATTATTATTATTATTATTATTATTATTATAATTTATAAATTGTTTATTTACCTTTTGCGAGCGCAAATGATAATTTCTTGGTTCCACGAGTACCTTTATCTGAAGTTGTTCCTACTTGTTAGCAATTCTGAAATAAAGATATAGACTATCCATAGACAGACAACAGTTTATAATAACGAGAATAATGGTAAAAAATCCAGTCTTCAGAAGCGCCTTATCCTGCTAACGTCACCGAGCCCGAGGCAGAACACGAACCGAACCCCGTCAGTCGACGCTGAAAAAAAGCATTACCCTAGGTCGTGTCTCTCCCTTCCCGACCTCCCCCCTGCCCCCCACACATCCCTAGCGACGGCCTTGTTTCCTCCCGACGACGTTGTTTTCCTCTAACGACCTTGTTTCTTCTAACGACCTAATTTCCTCCAAAACACATTGTTTCCCAACGACATTTTTTCCCTTCAAACGATCTTCCGAAAACCTTGTTTTCCGACGACCTTGCTTCCTCCAAACGACTGTTTCCTCCAAACGACCTTGTTTCCTCCAAACGACCTTATTTCCTTCTAACGACCTTGCTTCCTCCAAACGACTCTGTTTCGTCTAAACGACCTTGTTTCCTTCTAACGACCTTGCTTCCTCTAAACGACTCCGTTTCTTCTAAACAACCTTGTTTCTACCAGACGACCTAATTTCCTTCTAACTTCTAAACGACTCCGTTTCTTCTAAACAACCTTGTTTCCTCCAAACGACCTTGTTTCTTCTAAACGACCTAATTTCCTTCTAACGGCCTTGTTTCCTCCAAACGACCTTGTTTCTTCTAAACGACCTTGTTTCCACCCGACCTCCAAACGACCTTGTTTCTTCTAAACGACCTTGTTTCCTTCTAACGGCCTTGTTTCCCCGACGACCAAATTGACCCGAGTGCCATGTTTGTGTGTTGCAGTGAGGAGGCTCGTTTGACTACTTGGCTTCACCCGGTGACCTCTGAACCCGTGCTGACCGGACACCAGCCTCTCGCAG